ATTGGCACAAAATGCTACCCTTCACCTTGCACGAATATCGAACTTTTGTACGGACCTCCATCCGGGCCACCGCGTTCTTTCTTGTTTACGGCATGGAGGTTGTATTACCATTAGAGGTTGAAATACCCTCCCTAAGAGTCATTATGGAAGTGAAAAGCTAACAGAAGAAGAATGGGTCTAGAATTGGTACGACCAGCTTAACCTGATCGAAGAAAAACGACTGGACGCCATATGTCGTGGGCAAGCCTATCAAAAGAAGATCAAGAAAGCTTACGATAAGAAAATCAATTCCCACACTTTCCAAGAAGGGGATTTAGTAATAAAGAAACTGCTTCCCGCCCAGAAGGACAGAATTGAAAAATGGGCAGCAAACTACGAAGGACCCTTTGTGGTCAAGCAAGCTTTCTCAGGAGGAGCCCTTATCCTCACTAACATGGACGGAGAAGAGCTTCGATACCCAGTCAACTCAGACGCAGTAAAGAAGTACTATGCTTGTAAACATTGCTCATGACCCGTCAGGACAAAAACTCGCAAAGAGCATCTTGGGCAAAAGATAGGGTCTATATTCCTCACTAGGACACGTCCTAGGAAAAATTAAAGGTTCAAAAAAAAAACAACAAAGAGCAATGATTACCTTAGCCGAAAACCGCAAGGCAACTAAGGTAATACCCTTCTAGAAGCAAGCAGGCTTTGCATAGTCTTCACTCCGAGCTCGAGTATCTCAACTAAAGCGAATGGGAGAAATAGAGAGACAGATGTTAGGGACATGATTGTTATAGCTTATACAATGTAGCCAACCTCAGCCAGCCATGCTTCTAAATCCCTTTGTAAATCCTTTTGTAAACCATTTGTTTATATCAATAAAATTGTATTTTACTTCGTTTCTCTTAACCAATTTATGAAAATGCCTCTATATTAATGAAACATGAGCATGCATAAGGAACCAATACAAGAAAGCATAAGAAAGGAAAAAGATAAAAAGAATGATGCCTGCTAGGAGATTCTTAGGCAAAAGTTAGGGCAGCCTACTAGACCGAAAACCCGCAAAGGACGGTTTAAGCAAAAGTTAACGCACTCGTAAAAAGAAAAAATATCTCGCTAAGACGTCCTAGGCAAAAGATAGGGCTTAATAAAAAGAAAATGGATAAACAGAAGAGCCCATCAAGAGTAATCACGAATGATCAACAGAAGAATGTCAGTCACTTTCTAGATGTATCAAATAAAAGTAAAATGCATTTAAAGCATCCACACAAAGTCGCACAAAACGACTTTGACAAAATCGAAAAAACAAAAAGATCGCTTCAAATAATAATAAAAAGCATTTCGTACATATAAAGAGACTAGCTCCATGCTTGCGTTTAAAAATAGGAAGCACTCAAAAAGGAAGCCTCGTCAAGAAAACAACGCAGACCGAAAGCCTTCACTTCCTATGAAGCATCTGCCTACTCCTCAGAGGCATTACCAGAACTTCAAAGACGCCCACCTATTCAAAAAGCGTTACCCAACAAATCCCCCACCACCAGTAAAGTTGGATGACCACTACCAAAGATTAAAAAAACAAAGAATCCCCAGCAATCAACAAGTTGGATGGCTATTAGGACAACCAAAAATCAAAGAATCCTCGGCACACCAGAAGACTCTACCAGAAAAAGTCAAAAACAGACTATCAAGAAAACATTCCCCATGGAATATCGATGCATGAGCTAGATCAGTAAGCTGCCACCACTACTTCGGGACAAGGAAAGTCCCGAAGACAATTCAAACATCCACGAACAGGCGAGAAGTCGTTTTAATCACGAGGTAGGGTTTTCCTGCTGAAAAGTGCATTGGCAAAGGTAGGTTCTAACTGTTCTCACCAAGGTTTAAGGCCCCCAAGGTGCCCCCATTATAGGGTCCCCACTCTCCAGCCTTCCGACCGTGCTTAACACTATGGTCATAGTCAGTCTTTGTGCCAAAAGAGGAAGGTTATCACCTTGAGTGGTGGTTTCCGATCACACTGGTGGGCACAAGGCCATCACTACAGCGAACCGTACCTGCCACCCACACCCTATGTGTTTCTCACTTGCCCCCGGGTATAGGGGGAATTGTTGTGTGCAAGGGTTTGTGTACAATTTGTATTTCAAACAATTGCGTAAGTATAAATAGACAACAGTTATTAAAGTCAAGCATTAAAACATGTTATAATACAAGGTAGGGTAAAAGCGGTATTTTCTTGGTTTATTTATTTTTAGCTAGCCCATCACTAAATGGGATCAACTCTCTAGGCTTCCCCAGTGGAGTGGCCATCTGTCGCCGCCGTCAAAACGAGGGCGGTCGGAGCGACGCGATGGTTTCGACTTTCCAATTTTCTCGTTTTTTATTGGTGGTTACAACGCCTTTAGGTTGTTCGATAACCGGGCTGAACCTAGGGGCGAGGTTTTCGAAAGGGCGTTCTTGAATTGTCCGATAACCGGGCTAAACCAAGAACTAGTTTTTTTAAAGGGTTCTCTGGAGTCGTCACCGACGTTTTTACCCGAAACATCGGAAAAGAAGTTAAAAAGGCGTTGGTTTTTGAAAAACCAACTTTGGTCATTAGAACCAGAGTTGGGTAAGGGAGTTAGTTACGTGTAAGGGAAGTGTTAGTTCCCTTACGACGCCCCTTTCAGGTTCCCTATGATAGGCTTGCTACTTTGGATAAATAAATAAACCTGTGAAAAATACGTTGTTACCCTTTATTTTGCGGAATTTAAAGTTATGACTACATGGCCCTAGTTTCTATTGCACAATTAAAATTAAAGGGGTAAAAGTAGAGAGAGAGAGAGAGTGGAAACCTCCGAAGCAAGCTTTCTATTAATCTTTGCAAAAATAGGGTGCTTTTTGGCAGCCCTTCACTCTTTACAGTGCTGGAATCTCTCGAAAACGCTCTAAAACACTCTAGAAAACTCTCAGAAACTCCGGAAATGCTTCAGAGGGGTTCTAGAAAGAGAATTTGGTGAAAAGTCTAGAGAGAGAATGGAAGAACTGTGGGAAATGAGGGGAATGGCGCTCCTATTTATAGGGATTCGCGCCTGTCAGGTCGAGACGGGTCGTCTCGTCTGACAAGATCGAGACGGCCGTCTCGCCTTGCAGGAATGGCGAGACGGCCGTGTCGCCAAATGAGACGGTGGTCTCGCCATCTGTGCAAGGCGAGACGGCGGTCTCGACCTTAAAAGGAGAAAATCCTTATTTTTGGGCCAAAAATCCCTCCTATCCTAGTATGGGGCCTAATAGTCTCTCCTAGTGGCTTCTTAGGCTTCATCCATCTTCAAATAGAAGGTCTTCTGATCTTTATTACGAGGTCGAGCAGGATTAGGGGTCTACAACTTTTTTTTGTATACTTTTTCCTTTTTAGTGGCCATATCGTCAGTCAATAAATCTTATCATAGGACCAAGAATTGCGAAAATCAGACAACCAATCCTTGATGAGCATGGACTTTTATTTGGATTTTAACATGGCTATGGGTTAATGGCTATGAAAGAAAAGGGTATTAAGGCTCAAAATAGTATTTGCAGGTTATTTGAAACAAGGATGGTTAACCCAAGCATCTAGGTTTGATTTTTCCAACATTTGTTTCCTTTTTCTCTTTTGATTTTTTTCTTCAAGATGCTTCTAGATTCTTGATTTATCCTATTTCTTAAATGATGATTTCCTTTTCTTTTATTCTGTGCTTTTTTTGTTCTCTTTTCGTCCTCTTTTTTGTTGTTGAATGTCAAATATTAAATGCACTTGATTTAACAACGAGTTGACTTTTGATATGAGAGATCCTTGTTTGAGGGTAATTTGAAAAAAAAAATGGCTCAAAAGGGGTAACAAGGGATATTGTTTGGGATAAAGAAACATGGACACAGATCACTACAGATCATGATTGTCTTTTTATTATTTTCTTTATTCTTTTGTCTTGCTTTTTTCCTAGTTTGCCCTTGCAGGTTTTTAGTCTAACGGACTTTTCTTTCTATTTTTTCTCACAGATAAGATAAACCCAATGAAGTTGCTTTAGAATGAGGTCACTTTACTTTGGGCGATGATGAACTTTATTGGAGCAAATCCATTTATTTTACGGAGGGATTGATGGGCGGAAGGATTTCAAGCACCATTCTTTAATTACTTCAAAGGAAAATGTCGATTTATTGTCTTTTATCAAGGCATTGAATCAAAGAAAGCGCATGACATTCCCCACCATTATTTTTTTTCATTTCTTTTTTTGAACTTTTCATCATTTTTTTAAAATTATTTTGAAAAATTATTTTAAAACGTCATGAATTTGATGATTATTCAAAAGAAATAATTAACCCAACATGCAATTTTGCTTTTTTTTGTTCGTTTGTCATTTTTTTATTTGTGACACCCCTTTAGGACTTGATTCGAGCTAAAAACAGCATCCTTCCATGTTCTATGAAGAAAGCCATTGTGCTCATTGTAAGTGCAAAATTCAGAACCCAATTTGATATAAAATAAACTTGTTAAACACCATTGTCATTTATACAAGGTTATAAAAGTCTGACACATAACAAAAGCTAACAAGACAAGAGTCCTAGCAAAATCATGAAAGTGAACCAAAACTAACGTTGATCAAATCAAAATGACTGCCAGGTCTCCCCCTAGCCCTTGCTCTCTATAGCATTTGCGGAAGTGTTGTCATGTCGTAATAGAGGCTTGTGCTCAACACTCGGTTTGCCTTCCTCAAAGCTCAACCATCTAGAATCAATTAGAGCTTGCACCTTGCGCTTGAACCCAAAACATTTCTTCATAGAATGTCCAATAACCCCTCCATGATAATCGCATATGGAATTCATGTCATAATTTCTTGGGTATGGCGGCTGCATAGGCTTCATGGGGCAAATAGCAAGTAGCCTGCTATGAAGGAGGTTCGACAGTAGCTCTATATAAGTGACAGGAATGGGAGTAAAATTAAAATCTTGATTAGCACCTCCATTTGGGTTTGATCCTCGACCTGACCCATTGTTGGAATGCTTGGGTTGAGATGTTGGACCTTGAGGGACTTGCGCTTGGGGGAAAGCTTGTTGTTGGCAATGATAGGTACATGTTGCAGGTTACAGGTAGTTCTGTCCATAAACTGGGGTATGGTTCACCCAGGAGGGTGTGGAACATGTTGCATGCACTTCCACTTCTTTCTTCGATTTTGTTATATTTGAGACGACAAACATGCCAGGTACGATTCTTCCAGTCTTTAGACTAACATCTACTCTTTCCCCAATTATGATGAGATCAGAAAAGTTTGAAGAGATGTTGCCTATCATATGCTCATAGAACGTAGATTGCAAGGTGGTTGAAAACATGGCCACCATCTCCTTGTCTTGTAGTGGCGGTTCTACTTGGGTAACGACTTCTCTCCACTATTGAGCATATTATTTACAAGTTCCTCTTCCTTTCTTCGTCATATTCTGCAGATGCAGCCTATCAGGGGTCGTATCAATGTTTGACTTGTACTGCTGCATGAATGCATCTACTAGGTTCCCCCAAGAGCGAATGCGGGCAGGTTCAAGATGCATATACCAGTTTAGAGCTGTCGCCGCCGTCCGTTCCGACGTCCAGGGACATCTCGAACGTTTAATGCGAGCGGTTGCGGAAAGATGGTTGAGACTCGCGTTTTTTGTTAAAAATATGTTCATTGCTTCCGAGGCGCTCAACACTGAACTATCCTCTAATAGAAGCAAGGTTTTCGAAAAGGGTTCTTCTGGAGTCACCACCAATGTTTTGACCATAAACATTGGAAAAGGAGAAAAAGGCATTGATTTTAATAAAAACCAAACTTGGCCATTATAACCAGAGTTGGGTAAGGGAGTTAGTTACGTGTGGGGAAGGTGTTAGCACCCCACAACGCCCCTTTCGGGTTCCCTATGACGGATTAATTCATTTAAGTGAAGATTACGAGAAATTACGCTATTACCCTATTTTATTCATATAGTATTTAAATATGGCTATCTACATGATTTTATTTACATTGCATACATAAAGCAATAAATAAAACAGTAAAAGAAAAAAGAATTGAGAAGAACCTCCGAAGCGAGCTTTATATTATAAGTCTTTTACAAAGAGGATTCTTTTTGGAAATCCTTCGCTCTACAATGACTCTTCTCTCGATTACAATATCGACTTGACTAAAATTTTCTTGAAGAATCGAATGCTGGAATACAATTCCTTAACTGATTGTTACCTATTAAAGGCAATCAGAGAGATCATTCGAAGTAGGGAGAGAAGAAGACAAGTCTTGGAGTTGTCTGGGGTGTGGAAAAGTGCCAAATGAGTCTCCTATTTATAGTTTTCGCTGTCTGGCACATCTGGGACGCCCGTCTGGGCCGGGACGGCCGTCCCACTTGCATTTTTAACACAGGGCCAGCCCCCCTGGGACTTGGGACGGCCGTCCCAACTCTGGGACGGCGGTCTCGACCTGTTTTGTCCAGTTTTTGCGTTCTGGGACCCCGGGAAGCTTTCCTTGCTTTTTTCGGACGTTGGTTGATGCCGATAGGTGTTCGTTGAAGCTTGATCTTCATATAGGAAGTCTTCTTGACCCTTATTGAGATGCCGGACGAACTTTTATCTTTGTTGTACGAGGTCTCTTTAGCTTTTATTGAGAAGCTGGGCAAACTTTATCTTCGTGTGAAGTTTCCCTAGCTTTTATTGGGAGGCCGAGCAAAATTAGGGGTCTACAGCTGCCCCCCCTTCACCTGCCTAGCTAATTTGTTGGCTTGATATGCCGACAAAATTAGTTGGTAGGGGAAGGAGTTAACCCTTTTGCTCGGTCATCCTTTGGATGCCGCTCCTTGCTAATCCTTCGGATGATAAATATTTTGATAGGTACCAACCCCTATCTGGTTTGAGCCTTCTTTTATAAGGCACTGGTGAGTATTTACCCTCACCAGGTATAAGTCCGTATTTTACTAGACTTTAGTGAGTACCTACCCTCACTAGGTATGAACCTTGTTCTGCAAGGTTTTGGTGAATACCTACCCTCACCTGGTATGAGTTCGCATTTTGCTAAACTCTTGTGGGTACTTACTTCCGAGGTGCTCAACACTAAACTATCCTCTAATAGAAGCAAGGTTTTTGCACCCATTTTTTGAAATGCTCTGGTGAGTATTTTACTCTACCTGATGCATTTTGCTAGGTTTTCTGATGAGTATCTACCCTCATCTGGTATAAACCTTATTTTATAAGGCTTTGGTGGGTTTATTCTTCCACCTGGTACGAATCTGCATCTTGACAGATTCTAGTGGTTTTTACACCCCCACTGGGTGCGAACCTGCATCTTGACTAGGCTCTAGTGGATTTTACACCTCCACTTGGTGCGAATCTGCATCTTGACAGACTCTAGTGGTTTTTACACCTCCATTGGGTGCGAACCTGCATCTTGACTAGGCTCTAGTGGTTTTTACACCCCCACTGGGTGCGAACCTGCATCTTGACAAGGCTCTAGTGGTTTTTACACCCCCACTGGGTGCGAACCTGCATCTTGACAAGACTCTAGTGGTTTTTACACCCCCACTGGGTGCGAACCTGCATCTTGACAAGGCTCTAGTGGTTTTTACACCCCCACTGGGTGCGAACCTGTATCTTGACAAGGCTCTAGTGGTTTTTACACCCCCACTGGGTGCGAACCTGCATCTTGACAAGGCTCTAGTGGTTTTTACACCCCCACTGGGTGGGAACCTGCATCTTGACAAGGTTCTTTAGGATGTATTCTTTTGTAATCCATCCTGTAGATCCCAAATCTTGCCCGACCTCCAAATAAAGTCAGAAAGCATCCTATTTGAAGACGATCGAAGCTTAACAAGTCACTAGGAGAGACTATTAGGCTCCCGTACCAAGATAGGAAGGTTTTTTGGCCCGAAAATAAAGTTTCTCGCCCTGAAGGGACGAGACCGCCGTCTGGAAGGACCAGACCGCCGTCTCGTCTCAACGCCAGGACGAGACCGCCGTCTCGATTTTCCAGACGGTGGTCTCGACTCTCTCAAAGTTGAGACTGCGGTCAGGATTTTCCAGACGGCGGTCTCGATTCCTGCAAACGTCAAGACGGCGGTCTGGGTTTTCCAGACGGCGGTCTCGACCCCCTGCATGGTCGAGACGGCGGTCTGGATTTTCCAGACGGCGGTCTCGACCTTGTCAGACGAGAACGGCGGTCTCGACCTGTCAGGCGCAAAAAACTATAAATAGGGGCTCTCCCCCCCTCATTTCCACACAGAATCAACATAGCTCTCCCTTCTCTCTCTAAGAATCCCTCCGAGGCATTTCCGGAGTTTCTGAGTGTCTCTAGGCATAAACTGAGCATTCTAAATCTCCTTTAGAATCCCTCCGAGGCATTTCCGGAGTTTCTGAGAGTTGTAGAGTGAAGGGTTGCCAAAACGCACCCTCTCTTTTAAAATATAAAAGCTTGCTTTGGAGGTGCATATTCTCCCTCTCTATTTTTATTACTGCCATTTAAATTACGCAATAGAAGCTAGGGCCATGTAGTCATAAACTTAAATTCCGCATAATAAAAGGGTAAAAGCGCATTTTTCCAGTTTAATTATTTATTCAAAGTAGCCGACCTATCATAGGGAACCCGAAAGGGGCGTCGTAAAGGAACTAACACTTCCTTTACACGTAACTAACTCCCTTACCCAACTCTGGTTCTAATGACCAAAGTTGGTTTTCGAAAACCAACGCCTTTTTAAAACACCTTTTCCGATGTTTCCAGTAAAAACATCGGTGGCGACTCCACGAACCCTTCAAAACCCGTTCTTCGGTTAGCCCTGTCATCGGACAACCCAAGAACATTTTTCGAAAACCTCGTCTCTAGGTTAGCCCGGTTATCAGACAACCTTAGGACGTTGTAACCACCCATAAAGAAACGCGAAAAAAACAAAAGGGTCGAAACCATCGTGTCGCTCCGACCGCCTCCTTTTTTACGGCGGCGACACATCCTATGGTCGTCTGGTTTTAGAGATGTGTTTGGCGGCTTATTGTCTTTGATCATGCGCCTATTCCTTGGGGAATAATTTGGTTTTTCTTCTTGACTTTCTAGTCATCCGGTTTTTATCGAGGATTTCATTGTTTTGGCTTTTTCTTTTAGCCATCTGGCTTTTGCCGGGGATTTCATTGTTTTGGCTTTTTCTTTCAGCCATCCGGTCTTGGCCGGGGATTCTTTGTTTTGGCTTTTTCTTTCAGCCATCCGGTCTTGGCCAAGGATTCTTTGTTTTGACTTTTTCTTTTAGCCATCCGACTTTTGTCGGGGATTCTTTGGGTTTTGGCTTTTCCTTTTAGCCATCCGGTCTTGGCCGGGGATTCCATTGTTTTGGCTTTTTCCTTTAGCCATCCGGCTTTGCCGGGGATTCTTTGCTGGTTGCCTCTTATTTAGGCGGGAATCCATTGGGGATTTGTTGATTTTTGATTGTGCATCTTGATTAGGCGGGTGCTTCAATAGTGGTGAAGGCTTTTTACTTGTTGTTCGCCTCTTAATAGGATGATGTTCTACCTGAGGATATTTGCTCTTGATAATACCTCTGAGTAGGCAGATGCTTTATTTGAAGCTTTCTGCTTGTATTACCTCTTATAGGTTGATTTCCCGTTTCTTGGGGATATTGGCCCTTTCCTTGCCTCTGAGTAGGCATAGGCATTCTTGGGAGTGAAGGTTTTGCCTTTCACTGGGGATATTCATATTGGGTGTTATAGGCGATTAACTCCCTGAGGATATGAATTTTGTATTTTGCCTTTTGCTGGTAGGCTCGCTGGGGATTTTTCTTTTTGATGATCCACCAGGGATTTGATCGCTTTCTGGGGATCTTTTTGAATTGCCTCCTAGGGAGGAATGGAGTTTTTGACTCCTTATTTGATGCTGTTGTTTGAGCTGGCTTTGCCTATGCTCTTATTCCATTGGGGAATGGGCTTTTGCCTTTTTCTTCTGATTATACTTTTTCGTGATTTTGAAATTTTGATTTCGAATGCGTGTTTTTTTTTTTCTTTTGTGCACGTAGGCTCTTTATTATCTGCTGGGGATAAAGAGATTTTATCTCTTTTCTTCTTTTTTCTTTTTTAGCAACCCTGGGAAATTTATTGACTTCCTGAAGGTATGATGGAGTCCTGGCTCCTGGCTTTGTGAAATTCTTTATTGAGCGGGGTGAAGATATTTTCTTCTTTTTTCTTTTTTGTAGACTTTTCTTGATATGCTCTACTTTGGGGATTTTCATGCGGCCTTTTTCT